AGGTGGATCTCTGTGAGTTAGAGGCCAGCATAGTCTACATAAAGAGTTCTAGGCCAGTGAGAGCTAAATCATGAGACCTAAAACAAAGCTAAGTGCAAGGAATTATTAATTCTTTTTAAGGGGGAAGACCCACCTGCAAATTAAGTCATGACAACTGCCTACAGTATGGAATATCTTTCTAATATTAAGATTCAAATAATCAGTTATTAAAATTGAGCAATCACAGAAATTTGATCATGACAGCTTAGAATAGTAATGATATTTTATGAAGCTTGGAATAGTGACACACACCTGTAAGCCCAGTATCCCAGCACTTGGGTGACTGAGGCAGAATTGCAGTGAGTTTGAGATCAGCCTAGGGTACATAGTAACTTCTCTTCCAGTCTGGACTAGAGAGTGAGACTCTGTGCAAATAAATAAATAAACAAACAAACAAATAAATAAATAAATAAATGTGCCCGGCACTTGGGAGGCAGAAGCAGGTGGATCTCTGTGAGTTCAAGGCCAACCTTGTAAGGAGCATTCTTCCCATCAGCCTGGTCCCAGAGCCACGTCAGTCCCAAATGAACACGCAGGATGCTATATTAATTATGAAGCTGTTGGCTGTTTTCTATGGTTTCTTATTGTCTTTCTCTGACTTAATTATTAACCATAACTGCTAATATAAGTATTTCATGTGGTCTTCTCTTACCAGAGAAAGGGTCCAGACCTCTTACTCTTCTCAAGTCCTACGGTGACTGACTGTGCCTCTGTTTCCCAGAACCCTCCACCTCCCAGTCCCACCTATCTTGCTTCCCTATTGGCCAACAGTGCTTCATTTATCAACCAATAAGACAAACATTGCTGAGCATTGGTGGTGCATGCCTTTCATCACAGCATTTGGGAGGCAGAGGCAGGTGGATCTCTGTGAGTCTGTGGCCAGCCTGGTATACAGAGCCAGTTCCAGGACAGCCTCCAAAACAATACAGAGAAACCCTGTCACAAAGAAACAAAAACGAAAACAAAAACAAAAGACATATACACAGAAGGACTTCCCCCATGACAACCTAGTTTGCAAAGCATGTTCCAGGACAGCCAGAGCTACATAGTGAGACCCTGTCTCAAAAGAGCAAAACAAAACAAACAAAAAAGTGTTGTTAGCTTTTAAAAATATTTTAGTAGTATGATGAGTTTGTTTGTTTTTAGGGTCCCTAACTTTTTTCTGATACATGCTTAAATATGGATGAAGTAAATATTTGGAACTGTTGCTCAAATTCAGGGTTCTGGATGTGATGGGCAAGCATCCGACTGAGCTAGATGCTTCTATGTTCTGGGATTATAGTTGTGTGCCAGCAGACCCGGAGCCTCTTTTTTTTTTTTTTTAGACAGGGTCTCATGTAGCACAAGCTGGCCTCATGCTCAATATATAGCTAAGATGACCTTGAGTTTATGAAATTTATGGTCCTCTCAATTCCACCTCCCCAGTGAAAGAATTTGAAGACTATGCCCACCCTACCTATGTTTGTGCAATGCCAAGGAAGGAAACTGGGGCTTTGTGCATGCTAGGTAAGCACTCTAAAAACAAAGCCACATCCTTCCTCAGCCCAACTGAGTCCACAATTGCAAAAAGATGAACTTTCTATAAATTTATCCTTGGGTCAGAATAAAGTCAAGAAAAGACTATCTGGCCAGGCGTTGGTGACACATGCCTTTATTCCCAGCACTTGGGAGGCAGAGGAAGGCGGATCTCTGTGAGTTCAAGGCCAGCCTGGTCTATCGAGCGAGTCTCCAAAAACAATACAGAGAAACCCTGACTCAAAAAACCGAAAAAAAAAAAAAAGACTATCTGGCCAGGCATGACCGTGAATGCATTTAATCCCAGTACTTGGGAGGCAGAGGAAGGCAGACCTCTGTAAATTCAACATAGTAAGTTGCAGGACATCCAAGGGCTACATAGTGAGACCCTATGTTAAGATAACTCTTCCCAGCTGGGTGTTGGTGGCGCACACCTTTAATCCCAGCACTCGGGAGGCAGAGGCAGGCGGATCTCTGTGAGTTCGAGGCCAGCCAGGTCTACTGAGCGAGTTCCAGGACAGCATCCAAAACAATACAGAGAAACCCTGTCTCCAAAAACAAACAAAACAAACAAACAAAAAAAAGAGAACTCTTCCTGCCAGTCTGGTTACAGTGCCTTGACAACCCCAAATTGATGGGGAAGTGTGTATGTCAATAAAGCACTGTTGGCCAATAAGGAAGCAAGATAGGTGGGATTAGGAGTTGAGGAGGATTCTGGGAAAGAGAGACATAATGTAGCCCGCCAGAGGAGTAAGAGGTCCGGACCCTTTTATCCCGTAAGAAAAATACTTAGATTAACAATTATGGGTTAAATACTTAAATCAGAGCTAGCCAGTAAGAAACCAAGCAAATGGCCAACAGCTTCATAATTAATATAGTGTCCTGTGTGTTATTTGGGGACTGCAACTGTGGCAGGACCCAGGCGGATGGGGAAGGCTATACTCTGCATATGGTTGTCAGGAGTGGGATCGAATTTCCATGTAGAATGACAAAAGCTTAAAAGGAGTTTTAGGAACAAAAGAACAGAGAGAAGCACAGCTTCTTGGTAGCAGCATTTTTATCAGGTGGGCTCTGTTTTGCTAGAGACAAGCAGAGACTCACGTGGCTCACTTAAGGGAGTCTTCCTGACTCAGCATAAGCAAAAAAAAACAAAAAAACAAAAACAAAACAAAACAAAAAACAAAAACCAGCAAGGTTCTTTTAAGCATCCAGCAACCCCCTCCCCCTCCTACAGAGGCACCTGCTTTTCTTTATTTCCAGCTCATTTTGGAAGCAGTAGGATTCCTTCTGCCCAATAATATGATTTTCTGTGACAGTATTTGAGTTGAAATCCAAGTTATTCAAGGCCAAGGTTCTAATCTCTGTTTTATCTTAAAAACATATTCCTATACAGAGGACCTGGGACTTCTGCCTTCACAAAGGACACTTGGGAGAACCTTCTGTGTGACTATTTCAAATAACGGTGAATCAGATAAAGCAAGATCCAGTTCTTTAGGAAATGGAGAGGTTGGCGGCTGGCAATACTAGTACATCCTTTTAATACCAGAATTCAGGAGGAGGCAGGTGGATCTTTGTGAGTTCGAGGCCCACCTGGTCTACTGAGTTCTAGGACAGCCAGGACTATCTCAGAGAGAGAGAGAGGGCAGAGAGACAGAGACAGAGACAGAGAAAGGGAGGGAGGGAGGGACAGAGAAAGAAACAGAGAGGGAGAGAGGAAGAGAGAGGGAGAGGGAGGTTGGGATATACTCAGTGGTCACTATGTACTTTAATATGCCTAAATTACTTTACTTGCTAATGTTCAGTGCAATGAGTCATTGGTTTGACTCAAGGCTTCTGCTTCTGCTGCACTATCATTACAGGGTCCTCACCAGGACTCCTCTCAGATACGCTGTTGTTGCCCTGTGTCATAGAGATCCTACAGCTTTGGTTATGCAGGACCGGCCCCTTCACACTCTTTACAGTTTTTAGATGGGAAAGATGTTGGGGCGGGCCAACTCAAAGCCCTGGATACAGGCCTGGGTGGTAGCTGAGTTGGTCAGTCCACCTGCTCTCTGATGTCCAAACCTTCACGGCCAGTTTTCTTGCTTTGCCCAGGTGAGGGGTGGAGCCAGCTCTCTTGTCTGTGGTAGCTGACTAGAGGCAGGACCAGCTCTCTCCCCCTCTCATCACCAGCTCTCCAGCACTGCCCTGGTAAGGAGTGGGGTCGGCTCTCCCACTCATGCACTCGGGCCTGGTCTCCCATGCCCCCACCACCAGGGCCAACTCTACCATAATACCCAGGTGAGATGCAGGACCCACTCTCCTGAGTGCCGCAGCTGGCAAGGGGCAAAGCCAGCTCTCCCATGCAACCTTGACCATGTGAAAGGCCAGCCCTCCTGCATCCACACTTCCAGGGTCAGCTCTCCCTTGCTGCCCAGTCGTGGAGTGGGGTGATGAGGGGTGTGGCTAGCTCTCCCTTGCTGCCCAGTCGTGGAGTGGGGTGATGAGGGGTGTGGCTAGCTCTCCCTTGCCCACACCACTGTATGTTGGCCAGGGATGGGGCCAGCTCTTCCAGGTGTCTCTCTCACACCTGGCTCATACCATATGGCTGTGGCCAGGGGCATCTCAAGTGTCCTCTTCCTGCCTGGGTGTCCTTTACCTATCCAGGGCCCATGGGTGTCCTCCATCCACCTGAACCAAGCAGCACCAGATGGGCCCGTGGTTGTCCACTAAAAGTAAGTGCATTGAAATTCACATTATTTTGGCTAGTTCAGTTGGTAACGTACTTGAGGTGCAAGCATGAGCACCTAAATCCAACCTCTAGAACCCATAATTAAAACAAAACGCTGTGAGTGTTGGTGTTGGTCATCCCAGCTCTGCCTGAGAATCCCTGCTCAGCCAGTCTATGCTACCTGGGGGTTCCTGTCTCACAAAAATGGTCACTGGTTCCTAAATCAATATGAGGTTGACCTTTGACCTCTACCCCCTCCAGCACATCACATTATTTTATGTTTATATAGTTCCTTTAAGCCCAAATCAGAATTTATCATATTTTCCATTGCTGGCTGGCTTCTTCCCCCCTCTATCCCAAGATCTTACACTGTAGTTAACTGACTTGAAACTCACTGTATGATCAGGTTGGCCTTGAACTTTTGTCAACCCTTCTACCTCAGATAAGCTACAACACCAGTATTATTTTTGGTTTTTTGAGACAGGGTTTCTCTGTGTAGCCCTGGCTATTCCAGAACTTGCTATGTAGACCAGGCTAGCTTTGAACTCATAGAGCTCCAACTGTCTCTGCCTCCCAAGTGCTGGGATTAAAGACGCATGACACCACTGACTGGCTATTTACCTTTTTTTAATTTTTGCTTTTGTTTTTCCAGGTAGGGTTTCTCTGAAGCTTTGTAGCCTGTCTTGGAACTCTGTAGACTAGGCTGGTCTCAAACTCACAGAGAAGGACACTTACATCTGTTTCTACATTAAAAACATTTATTTCAGGAAATGTTCACCCCTGCACAAGTGGAGCTGGGTTCAAGGGTACAAGAATGATATCTGGGAGGACTGCATGGATCATCAAAGTCAAACAATAAGGCCTAAATATACTGCAACAATGGTGAGGCTTAGCACTACGTGGGGAGAAGATTTTGAGTGTGACCACTTGGATGATAACTTGAGTTTATGATGTGTTCTGATCTCTGATCGGTTCTTTTCTTGATTCTGTTTCTGACGAGGCAGGACTGAGTGACAAACACTGTCCAGCTGCTCCTCTGGAATCATGTCCTCCAGGGGACTTTGCCATCTGTTTTTCTCCCGTACCTGGAGGTGACAGTAGTCGTCAGCAACTCTTCTAGGTCTCCTGTTACTGAAGCGCCCGTTCAGACCCCATGCACTGCCTTTTGCCATCTCGACATACCCGTTCCACCTGTCCGAAGACCCGCAGCAGGTTTCCTCGAAGGACACCTTGCAGCTCCTGCTCACTCCAGCCCCGTCTCAGCAACTCCTCTATGAGCACTGGGTATGTAGACACGTCCTCCAGTCCCTGAGGGAACCTGTGTAGTCACCAGCAGGTGAGCCTCAGATCTGGTGTCCTAATCCCACTCAAAACCTCACCTCTGTCTGAAGTGCATCCTCAGGGATGGCCATATGTGGGGATGGAGACTAGGAAGGAGTAAGTAGATTGTTTGCTTCAGTCCTAACCCTTCAGAGGACGTCTCAAACCCTCTTTAAAATATGCAGTGCTAGAAATAAACCCTTAGGCCTCGTAGATAAGCAAATACCCTACCACTCCTAGCCCCTTCCTTGAATATTTGCTAAAACTCACTGAATGGTACTTTAAGACCACGCCTTCCAGCAGGCAGGTGGTGGCGCACACCTTTAATTCCAGCACTCAGAAGCCAGAGGCAGGCTTCAGGCCAGTCAGGGCTACATAGTGAAATCCGGTCTCAAACAAAAATCAAACAAGACAAGACCTATGTCTGCTAATGATGCAAATATTCCCTCTCTTAGGAAGGCTGTTGCTCAGGGGTGGCTTGATTAACTTCAGGAAGGTTCTGAAGTTGAAAAGCAAAAAAAAAAAAAAAATGCTAAAGAAACAAGAGCAGGGGCCAGCAAATTGGTTCAGTGACTAAAGACCCGACAACCTGAGTTCAGTCTCTGGAATCCACATGGTAGAGGAAAAGAGTGACTCCTGCCACATGTGTGCCGTAGTCCCACACCCCTCCCACTCACCTGCTACATGCATGTCATAGCATGCCCACCCCGCCCACTTACCTGCCACATGCATGTCATAGCATGCACACCCCGCCCACTCACCTGCCACATGTGTGCCATAGCGTGCACAGCATGTACACCCCACTTCCCAAATAATATTTTTTTAAAAGGAATAAAGCAGTTTGAGGCCAGCCTGGGATTCATAGTGACACACTGTGTCCAAAATAGGAACAACAAACAAAAGGAAGGGAGGGTAGGAAAAGAGGCAAGAAGTTTCCTCAGAACTGGCAGAGAAGCCGGGCAGTGGCCACACACTCCTTTAACTCAGCAGGCAAGGAGATCTCTGAGTTCAAGGCCAGCCTAGTCTACAGACTGAGTTTCAGGACAGCCAGGGCTACACAGAGAAACCCTGTCTCCAAACAAAAACAACAAAAACTGGCAGAGAAAACAGTCAGCCCACAGCAGACCCTGCTGACAGCTCAGAGAGAGCGGGTCTGCAACGGGTGCAGGTGCTGCCCAGGAGCTTTCTCGGCGTTCCTTAGTGGGGGGCCTGTGCTGAAGACACACAGGAGAGCACAGGAAATGGACCCTGGAGCTGGGGAGCCGTTAAGTGGGCAAGGCCTGAGGTTCTCAAGGGCCTAGATGTGGCGACAGCAGCTTCAGAGCAGCCACAGAGAAGTACTCACTGTGCAGTGCCGTCATAATCCCCACCAATCCCGATGAACTCGGATCCAATGACTGCTTTGATATGGTCAAAGTGATCTGGGGAGGTGGACAGTGAGCAGAGTGGGTTTTCAGGGCAGGAGTGGCCCTGGAACTAGGCTTGGCGGATCCCATTCCTCCTTCCATTACAGTCTGGGGCTTTTACTCCTTTTTGAACGTCAGGATCCAGTCGTTTGGGCTCCTTTCCACTCAGTTCACCTGGTTCAGGAAGCCATTTTGGCTCTTAGAGAGTTTAATATGCTCAGTCTGAACGCTTTCTTGGCAAGAATCTTGCCCTTCCCTTGCTTGTTTATGACAAAGTCAACGGCATGCAAGTCAACGGCATGCTGAGTGATACTGTTCTCCAAGGTAACATTTAGGAGGCATTCCTTTTTGAACAGGGCCCATCTCCTTGATGTCTACAACATCACCCTTCTTTCAGATTTGTGTGTATGTGATCAAAGCAACAACTCTATATTTCTTTAAAGGCCTAGAGAGAGCTGGAGAGATGGCTCAGTGGTTAAAAACAGTGCTGGCTCTTCCAGAGGACCCAAGTTGGATTCAATTTCTAGCACCCACAAGGTCATCTATGTTTTCAGTACCAGGAGATCTGGTGCCCTGTGGGCACAGGCATGTATGGGTCTCACAGACATACATGCAGGCAAAACACCCATACATATAAAATAAATTACTAATAAAAATCAAAACAAACAAATAAATAGACTGGAGAAATTATAGAGGGTACCTTTCCTTTTTTTCCCCTTGTCATTTTGGTGAATTACTAGAAGATGGCGTCTGTGACCCAAAACAGATTTCTCTTATTGTAGCTAGTACTCCACATACCTGCCACTTGAACTAACACAAGCTGCTCTAGACTAGACTTCAGGTTGGAACGAAAGCATTTGGAGGGCCACCGACTTAAGTCATACCCAACCTAATTCATCTCTGATTCCAGTCTGGAAAACCTGACAGGGCCTCCTTTGGATAAGACTGAAGGCAGAGGCAGGGGCAGGGTGCTTTTGCAGCCCATGCAGAAGCAGACAGTTGGCACACCGCTCCAGAACTGACCCCAGGACCCCTAACAAGGCGGTTTGGATTCTTTGACTCTGGTTCAAGGTAGAACTTGATTTGAAGGAGCGTTAATCCAGGTCTTCACAGGAGGCAAGTACTCTACAAACGGAAGTACAGCCTAAGCTCCCATTGTAGCATTTTTGTCTAAACTGTTAAGGCTGTGTGGACACCCTGGAGTCTTCAGGTCAAACTCAATACTGTTCAGAAAGCCGAGGAGGGAACTGTTTCCAAATCTTCATTGCTAAGCGTGGACCCTTTCAGGGATTTACCTCAGAAAGTACAACTTTTTCCTTTCCTTTCCTTTTGTCTACCCACCTCTTGCCTTCCCTCCTCACTGAAGATGCTGATGTTTACAACCTGATTTTCCTGTTATACTGTTCTTTCAAACTCCAATAAACATTCTTTGGGGGTTTAAAAAAAGAAAGGAAGAAAAGGAAAAAAAACATATTGTGAGGCAGGTTTTGGGAGACTCACCTGCCACAGTGGACACATTGGCTAATGGGTTGCACTGCAGCACCCCTACAGAGAATGTCACCATCACGATGCCACCATTCTTCTTCTGTAAGGATGGACAAAAGGATACTCAGCTTGGCTCCCCAGCATGGTTATGTGCCTACCTACCCCTGTGAGAAAGCTTTGGGGGCCAGAGGGGAACTTCATCTCTCTGACTTGTGTCAATGAGGAAGGCTTGACTCTGATGTAGGTGATATCTTGGCCCTAAATTTGAGGGATATGGGAATATTTATCTGCAACAACCTCCCCACCCCAGGCCCAGAGTTTAGGGGCAATGGACTATAGTTTTTGTGGGACAGAGAGTGCTCAGTCTGGGGGCTGGAGGGGATAAAATTTCAAGTTCAAGGCCTCCTGGTTTGAATTTCTTGATTTAGGTTCCAGGGCTACATAGTTTCTCACCAGAAGCCATAGGATGTCATCAGGAAGATTCCGAGCATTTCTGCACACACCCCTGGCAGCTGAGTGGGAGAAGATCACAGGTGCCTGGGACACTTCCAAGGCCCGCTGTGCAGTCGCGTCCGAGACATGGGACAAATCAACCATCATACCCAAGCGATTCATTTCTGCCACCACCTTCTGTGAGGGCAGGTTAGGAGGAGGGTTTCAGGGATATGCATATGCGTGCATTAATCATTCAGAAAAGGCGCGTGTGGTTTGTGTGGCCTGGAGTATCACTCAGTCCTTACTTCACCAAAGCTGGTCAGTCCTTTGACACTGCTGTAGAATGAGTGCACGTCCTTAGATGAGCTCTCTGCCCTGCAGGACAGGCAAGGGGTAACTAACTGGTGGGCGTGCCCTTCCAAACTCTTCATCCCTGCAAACCCACAGAGCTAATCCAAAAACCCAGGTTGGACTGTGTCCCGCAACTGGAGGGATCCTAGTCTTGCTTCATAAAAACCCAAATACCAGTCCCTGTATGTGAGTCCCAGACGATAAGGGTAAATCTTGGTGAATGTCCGCAAGGGCAGATTTCTGCCTCAGTTGGCTCACACGATCTGCACCGTGCTCACCAGGGTGTGTTGCAGGTGTGTGTGAGCGTCAGGTAGCGCACCCCCAGCTGGTAGAAACTTCGAAGCACAGAGAGGCTGTTATCTAGTGAGTGGCCACCCTCCACACCAATGAGGCAGGCCAGCTTCCGGGTGCTGTTCAGAGCTGAAGGCATAAGTCAGGTGATTATTTTCAGGAGCTAGAGCAGTCGCTTCACCCAGTCCCCAATACCTTGAGGAAGCCCACTCACCTTTAACCGAGGTCACAAGCTCCAGCTCAGGGTAAGAGGCACACATACTGTGAATGAGGTCGATCTGCTCCAGGGTGAGGCGCAAGGCATCCCGGTCCTGGGTCTGACACGGTACATAAGCCGACCAGAACTGGAGGCAAAGCCAGGGATTGGGTTGTGAAGGGGAACTACCTGGGCCTTTACAGCTGACAGACTCGTGGGTCTGGAGACCACATGCAGCGAGTGCACTGCTCACTCTGTGGTACTTTCCAGCCCGCCTGCTGGCTCACTCCTGACGCCTCTCTCGCCACAGCATCACACCATGACTTTCTTTTACGGCACTACAGTAACTGAGTTCCCATATGACTAACTTGTCACTTCTGGGGCCCCAATTTCTCCAACCTTCCCCAGCAGCCATGCTGGTGTGTGTGTGTGTGTGTGTGTGTGTGTGTGTGTGTGTGTGTGTGTGTGTTACCTGGGCTCCCACGAAGCCATCTCTAAGCCTATTCAGGTTGGTATGGCCATAGGTGAAGTTTCTCAGGTTGGCGTCCTGTAGCCCATTCAGGTAAGATTGCCTCAGAACAAGAGGCAGGTCGTTGTGGCTGCAGCAGAGTCAAGAAAGACATTACATCAAACAAAATTGGTGGAGTGGTTCTGCTGTAATCCCAGCACTCAGAAGGCTAAGGCAAGAGCATCATTTTAAAATTCCAGGTCAGTCTAAAATTCTGTGTTAGTTCCACAGCAGCCTGGGATAGAGACAGAGAGGGATTCCCTCCCTCCCTCCCTCCCTCCCTCCCTCCTCCTCCCTCCTCCCTCCTCCTCCTCCCTCCCTCCCTCCCTCCCTCCAAGGACATATGGCTCTCCTTCTTTGGTTTCCAGGTCTAGAAAAAATAATTCTGACAGCTATTCCTAACCCACATTGTTACCCAGACAATACTGAGATGCCCTAAATAAATTCTGGAGACCCTTTAACAGACTCTCATAGGATCACATAACACATGGACTAGGCTGGGGGTCCCCACCAGAGGGCTGAGTGATAGAGAAGGGCCACCGACTGATATGAGACAGCATCTAGAGGTGGGTAGTAGGAGAGGGAGGACTTTGTTAGTCCCACAGGCTCAGAACCCTCTCCAGCTCACGAGTATGCTCAGCCCAGTTTCATTCTGACTTCATCCCCAAGCCATTTTATATTCACCCATCTACAAGCAGGAAGTCTTGCATCAGGGCTCTCGCGCGATCTCGCAGGTCTAGGAAATTGGGGTTGCCGGCAGTGGTTGGGATGCTGGAGGTGCCATCGGGCCTGGTGAGGGCTCGGGGGTTGCTTGGTGCCGTGGAAGCACCAAAGACGCCTGGTTTGGTCTGGGTCCACGTAAGAGGCCCTGAAGGCCCTAACAGCAGTAGCACCAACAGCAACACTGAGAGCACTGGGCTAGGCATCCCGTGACCCTCGAGTAGGCCCGTGAGTCGCATCTTCTCAGGGCGGGGCAAGCGAGCACTGATGAAGGTCACAAAAACCTGAGAGGGACAGAAGGTACGATATAATCTGGGCTCTCAAGTCAAGCCATGAGGAGACCTGCTCTGGTGAGAAGGGATTTGAGGTCAACAGATTCCAGACAGCAAAGCGGAGCAGCACAGCCGCCAGGGGGACCCACAGCCCTGCTAGCCCAGTCTCTAAGGGCAGTTCCGCCTGCAGCACTCACTCAGCTCCTGTCTCGGAGTCCTTTGCCCCACGCCCTGTTTACTGTTCCCAGGGAGCCAATCCCGGTGGCTTCCTGGCGGCGTCTAGGAATTTATCTAGAAGAAAGTGGACCCGTGGTGCTTCTTTCACACAGTGAAAGTGAGCCCTTTGCAGCCCGCATCATGTCCCCGACTACCCGCAGCCTTCTCGGACCTGTGACACTGCCCTCCAGCCAGCAACTGGGAACTACTCAGAACACACACCTCCATACCCTAAGCCCATTCTGTCACCATTCAAGGTGACGACTGCTCTCTTCCTCGGGCTGACCACCTGGGTTGAGAACTGAGCGAGCCACTACGGGGGAATACTTACTCAGTAGCACAGGAGCAAAGTAAATCGGCTAGGGAAATGGAAGGAAATGAAATGCTTTCCAGGCCAGCAGAGCCCCATCCCAGCACCTTCTTCCCGGGGCTGCAGACTGACCTCCTACCTCAGTGTGGAAGCCGAGGCAGAAGCCTGAGTCCTCAGGCCTGGCACTTGTGTCTAGTGGCTTCACACACCTTATCTGTGGCTCTTGTGGCCTGAGCCCTGCCAGAAACCTCAAGGGCTCAGTTCCCCTGCTTTCAGGCCCCACCCTGTTCCTAGCCCTCACCGTTTCCTCCAGGAACACCCCAGCTGCCCGCTCCCTTCCTCTCCCCTCCCCCACTGCCACCCTTTCACGCAGCCAGGTGGCAAAAGGGAAGAGAAACTTTTAGATTTGTTGGTCTCCATGTCACAGTTGTGGTTTTGAGGGTAAACTTCATGTTCGCTCCATTCCTAGTAAGCCCCAGGAAGTTGAGAGTATGAGGGATACAAATAAAGGGGGTTTGAAGAGACAGCATGTAGCTTGGTGGTTAAGAGCACTGGCTGCTCTTTGATTCCCAGACAAAATATCCATACCCCCAAAATAGAATAAAATCTCAAAAACAGAAAAAGGACTCCAAGGTGTCCTCCTCAGTCAGTCTCCATCTTGTTTTTTGAGACAGGGTCCCTCACTGGATAGGAAGCTCACCATTTCGGCTACCCCAGGCATCTTCCGGCCTCCATCCGGCCCTCCACAAGGCTGGCATTACAGCGATGTGCCTGACTTCTTACCTGAGAAGTGGGGACCGATCGTAGGTTCATATGCTTGCACTTTACCAACTTGGTTATTTCTCCACCTTCTGCTACAGATTGTTTTAAATTTTTCATTTATGTACTTACTTCTCCCTGTGTACATGTATGGAGATCAGAGAACTGTCAGGAGTTGGTTCTTTTCATTCATTGCGGGTATGAATATTTTCTGGCGTGTGTGTCTGTCTACTACATGCATGCCTGGTGCCATCAGAGGTCAGAAGAGGGCATTGGATCCCCTGGAACTGTAGCTACAGATGCTTGTGAGCGAGCCATCATGTGGATGCTGAGAATCTAACAATGGTCCTCTGGAAGAGCAACAAGTGCTGCTAACCTCTGAGCCATCTCTCCAGCTATGACCCCATTTTAAAGCAAACCATAGGACTGGGTTCTGGCTCAGTCGTAGAAGGCTTGCCTAGAATTTGCAAAGCCCTGAGTTTGAGCAACAGCACTGGGGATAAGAATAAAAAAATAAATAAAAGACAAAGTAAATAACAAACGTGTATTTCATGCATATGTAAATATTTATCTCACAAATTCAGGACCCTTAAAAAAACCAAGCCACTCTATAAAGGCGTCTTTAAAAATCTCCTAATAGGTTTTCTGAGATTAAATTTTCGTATGACTGTGTGTGTGTGTGCGTGCGTGCGTGCTGTGGCACTAGGACACCTTGTGGACATCAGTTCTTTCCTCCAGCAAGTGTGATCTGGGGATTAAACCCAGGCTTGGTGGCAGGCACTTTTACCTGCTGAACAGTCTGCTATCCCTAATTTTTTCTTTTCCTTTTTTTTTCTTTATTTTTGAGACAGGGTGTCACTCTGTAGCCCAGGCTAGCATGGAGTTTACTATATAACCGAGGTGATTTGCAAATTCACTGCAGTTATCTTGCCTCAGTCTCCCAAGTAATGAGATACAGGTGTGTATCAATATACCAGACTTCATGAAATGTCTTTATTGTCCCAAACTCTCATACTCAAATCTTCATACTTTCTATAATTATTTGAATTTTAGTGTAAAAGTTATACAGTATATTGAATGTGGTTGTCATGGTTTAGTTTGTAGCTCTTATATTTTTGGTTGTGAGCCTAGCCTTTAATGGCTGAGCTACCCTTCCAGCTCTTAGTTTGTAGTACTAGAGAGAATTAGTGTGTTGGCTTATTGAAAAGGAAATTACACCACCGCCCGGCCAGAAAAGCTTTTTAAAATTTGTTTGTTTAGAGACCTGGAAGCTGTGTATTACCCATCCTGATCCTGTTCTTCAACTTGTTGCATAGACAATGCTCCTTCCCCTGCCTTCTTACTAGCTAGGGCTTCAGGCATGTACCAGTGTGGCCAGTTGTAAGAAGGGGTTCCTTCCTTCCTTCCTTCTTTTCTTCCTTTCTCTTTCTTTTTCTTTTTTGTTTTTTTTGAGACAGTGTTTCTCTGAGTAGCTTTGGAGCTTATTCTGGCACTATATCTGTAGACCAGGCTGGCCTTGAACTCAGAAAGATCTGCCTGCTGGGATTAAAGGCTTGAGCCACTGTCACCCGGCAAAATGTATTCTTTATTTATTTTTATGTACACAGGTGTTTTGCCTGTATGCATGTCTGAGAGTATTGGATCCTTAGAACTGGAGTTACAGACAGTTGTGAATTGCCTTGTGGGTGCTGGGAATTGAACCCAGGTCCTCTGGAAAACCAGCCGGTGTTCTTAACCACTGAGTCATCTCTCCACCTTTTTTTGTTTTTTTTGAAAGAGAGTCTTACTATGTATCTCTGGTTGGCCTGGAACTCACAGAGACCTGCCTGCCTCTTAAGTGCTGGAATAAAAAGTCTGTGCCACTACACCCAGACTATAGGAAAAGCTCTTAAAACTGTATTTCCAGGCCTTCACCATTAAAACTTTTGCTGATTTGGTATTGTTGTTTAAATCTCTCATTTTCAAGTGTAGGAGTCAGGAGGAAGGTTTACCTTAGAGATTCTTGAAGGCACAAGACTTTAGAAACCAGGTTCTCTGTGAAGAATTCACTTTAGGGAGCAGAAAGGCTTGAGGCTTGGTCTTGGACTTCAAGTCAAACACTGTCAGAGAAAATCACTCTGTTGACCCAGAAGGGACCTCCCTGTTTCCATGATGGGCTGGAATTAAAGGAGCATGTGAGCCTCAGGCATGGGGTGGGGAGGCGGTTGCTGAACTCTTTCCACAGTGCTCCTGCCCCAGCTAGCAGGTCTCCCTGGGCTCTTCGTCTGCCTCCTGAGACCTTAGGCAGGAGCCTCCTTGGTTAACTACTGCTTGTTTCTTCTAGTTTTAGGAAGCGCAGCCGCTCCTGGCTTGTGCTGCTGGCTCCTGGCATGATGCAGAGCAGAAGTCTACTCACAGAGAGAGCCCCAGCTTGGCCCCTCTGTATCCTCTCTCTGCACTGGTCTCCTCCAGCCGACTGTTGCTTTGAACTGCCCAAGAAGAGACTCTAGAGGACCGAGGGAGGGTGGGCTGTTCAGAGCAGCTGCCCCTCTCTGAGGCTCCTTGCTCATGGCTAGTTGGCATGCAAGTGGATTCCTGACTGGAGAGGGCACAGGCTGGGCAGTGGAGGTCATTGACGAAGAGGGCTCAGCCACCTGAGGCTGCTACCGGCCTGCCCTCTGGGCAGGGACACTCAAGCAGGATGCTTCTGCAGGGAGGGACAGCCCTTTGCCACCATGCTTCGTTCTGAGACGAGGAATTTTGGCGCTAGGACACCCTAGATCTTGGTGTGATTCTTCGTGAACTCTCTGTCTCTTGGGAGCCCTCCTGGGTGCTGGCTTCTCTTCCTCGGCCTTTGCAGGGGTGGCCAGTGGAGCGTCCCCATAGACACGGTAGCCTCCAATCAGGCAGTATGTCTCTCCATGCCAGGCCATCTGGGCCTGAGCCTGCTCTTTGTAGAGGACATGGTAGTAGCCAGGGGAAGGAGGAGTCATGGGAGGCGCGGGTGCTGCAGGGAAAAACACAACAGTCACTTCTGCTCGGTACTCTGTGCCGCAGAGCCCTTCCTCTCACACCTCTTTCTGTTTCTGGCTGGAGCCCTCCTATCTGCTTGGCATCCCAGACACAGCCTTGCCTGTCACTGCTGTGGGTCCCCTTGAAGGGTGCTTCTGTAAAAAGCATTTGTCTTCTGGGGAGCCAGTGGCAGCTTAGCTGTGGGAGGCCACTATGTGTGGCCCATCTCCATAAAGAATGATAGAACCTCAAGCTAGCTGCAGTTGAGACCTCCTCTGTTTCTCCTCCCACAAATGAGGATTTCTGAAGGTCTGCGGTTTCTGAGCTTTAATGAGTATGTCTGGGGAAACAGTGTAAGATAAATTCATTAACAGCGATCTCCACCCTGGTTGGCAGCTCCTCTTGGGATCCACTCATTCAAACCACACGGAACTGTAGCCCTATTTTTTCTGGAGACATCATCTTAACTTAGTGAAAGCTATAACTGTAATTGGCCTTAAGCTAACTCTCTCTCTCCTTCTGTGTATGTGTATGTGTGTGTGTGCGAATGTACCATATACCCACTTGTATGTATATGTGCAGGCTCAGAGGCCACAGGAATGTGTTCAGTGATCTTTCCTGTCACTCTTCTATTCATTTCTCTGAGGCGGTCTTTCTTTGACCTTCTGGGACTTATTTTCTGCACCCCTCCTCCCCTGGACAGGTAATCAGCAAGGCCCAAAAATTCTCATTTCTTACACTCCACACACCTCCATTACAGGTATGCATGAGCCATGAGCCCATACACAGCTTTTTGACTGTGACCCAAACTCAGGTCCTCACAAATGTACAAGTATTGTCAATCATCAAGCCATCTCTCTCCAGGCCCTCACCCCCTTCCTCAGACAGTCTATGTTGTCCAGACTAGACAGCAACTCTTGGGCTCAAGCCACCTCCCTGCCTTAGGCTCCCATACTGGGTATGCAGGCTTGATCCACTGTTAAGTTCTAATGCTTCCTAATGGCCAAATACTATGGGGTCCAGGGTCAAATTCCAGGCAACAAGTTTCCTCTCAAAGACACTTTTCATATTGATTCAACTTCTGGGACACCCCTTCCCCAGACCTTCAGTTTCAGGGGTACCTGCAGCTTTTTTCTTCTTCCCATTTTTATGACCACACCCTCTCCCCCATATTAGCATGGGTTTGAGGGTGGCCAATAAGAGTGTTTTCTGTGACAGCATGGTAAAGGTACCTGGATCTGAATGTGGGGGTTTATCAGAAGCCTCTATTAGCTCTTCCCCAGGGTGCTGTGTTTATCATTTGACAAAGAAACATACTTGCTTTCTGTTTGCTTGTTTTGAGACATGGTCTCACTGTATAGTGCTGACTGTTCAGGAACTCACTATGTAGACCAAGCTAGTCTCAAATTCACAGATCTGCTTGCTTTTGCCTTCCAAGTACTGGAATTAAAGGCATGCACCACCACTACCTTGCTGGATTTTATTATTTTTTTTTAGTTTTTTTGAGACAGGGTTTCTCTGTATTGTTTTGGAAGCTGTCCTAGAACTCGATCTGTAGACCAAGTTGGCCTCGAACTCACAGAGATCTGCCTGCCTCTGCCTCCGGAGTGCTGGGATTAAAGGCGTGCCCTATCACCACCTGTCAAAATTTTTTTTGGAGGGGAGGCAACTTGTGTTCCTAAGCACTGAGCCATTGCTCCAGTACCAAGACACTTGGTTTTACTCTGATTCTAATCAGGAAAGTCTTGGGAATGGAGAGATCGTTCAGAGGTTCAGGGTTTATACTGCTCTTGCAGAGGATCTGAGTTAGACTCCTAACACTCACATGACTCTCAACCACCTGCAACTCAGCTTCCAGGGTATCTAGCTTTGGGGGGTTGTAGAATATTAAAGATGTGTCACATATGTTTATGTTGTGGAATATTTGTTCAGCAATGTAAAGATGTATTGCTTTTGTTTATGCTGCATTTGTTTAGCTCTGTGAGGCTCTCTAAAACACCTCGTTGGTCTAATAAATGGCTGAATGGCCAATAGCTGGGCAGGAGAAACTCCTTGGGATCTACAAGGGTGACCCTAGCAAAGACTCCTAGTAATGGAGGACATGGAGTCTGAACCAGCCATCTTCTGTAACCAGGCAAAGCCTCCAGTGGAGGAGTTGGACACCAACCCAGCCACAAAACCTTTGACCACAATTTTTCCTGACTGCAAGATGTGCTGGGGTAAAAGTGGTGCCGAAGTTGTGGGAGTGGCCAACCAATGACTGGTCCAACTTGAGACCCACATGGGCAAGAGGGTACCCATGCCTGACACTGCCTGGATGGCCAGGAATCAGAAGCTGGATAGTCCAGAGACCTAGGATAGAACCAAACACAACTGGCAAAACAGAAATTCAATGAAATGATAAGTGATTCCTAATAATATTATGCTATACTTATAGCACAATCATCACCAGGGAGGCTTTGTCCAATAATGGATAGGAACAGATACATTAGGTGGGGCTGGGGAAACCTGAGGAAGAGGAAGAGGAAAGATTGTAGGAGCCAGAGGGTGAAAGACACCATGAAAATTTGGCCCAGAGTCAAATAACCAGGGTCCATAGGGGTTCACAGAGACTGGATAACAACCAGGGAGCCTGGCCGGGCGTTGGTGGCGTACGCCTTTAATCCCAGCACTTGGGAGGCAGAGGCAGGCGGATCTCTGAGTTTGAGACCAGCCTGGTCTACAGAGCGAGTGCCAGGACAGTCTCCAAAGCTACACAGAGAAACCCTGTCTCGAAAAACAAACAAAAAATTCTGATAGACAAGCCTTAGAGAAATACAGTCCCAAGTGAAGTTACATGTATACTAAAGGCTCTTGTGCAGACACCTGGTTTAGATTTACCTGAATAACAGCCTTCGCAGGGGATAGAGGACAAGTTAGAGTTAATATAGAAGATTCGATCAGTCATTCTCAATACAGTCTGTGACTTGTACTAACTAGTACAGAAAAAATAGGAATGTTTTCCCAAAGGATCCAAGTTTCTATAGTTACATTGCCATGGAGACTTAGGGCTGTGATGTCATCACCACCTACTTTGGTCACATATGGAAACTTTTACTTGAGGGATAGTCTCCCAGCCCTTAATGCTTTAAGAAGAGCAGGGCAAAGACAAAGAGGAACCCTGGTCTTAAAAAAAAAAAGTCAAATCTGGACACGTGCAGAAGACATACTGGTTAGCAACAATAAAAGTCAGGGGCTGGAGAGATGATTTGTCAGACAAGAGCAGTGATTGTTCCTCTACAGGACCTGGGTTTAACTCCCAGCATCCACAAGGTGACTAACAACAGTCTGTAACTCCAGTTCCAAGGGGATCCAACACCTTCTGGCCTTCAAATGTACTGCATAATTTCAGTCCTCAAACACACAAGTAGGCAAAGCATCCATAAACATAAAAATGTGCTCCCCCCACACAAAACCAGGCAGACAGGCTTTAGTTGACTTTGTTCTGTCCAAAGAATACATTCTTAGAGCCTTTATCTTTTACAGTTGAGGTCCCAAGAAAAGTTAAGGAGTAGGCTATGGGTGTAGAGCTATATTCAGAGTGCTCACCTAGCCTGCATCACATAACCAGAAGGCAAATTCTTGCAGTTTCTGCTTTTGGGAGTGGGTGCAGCAGGATCAGAAGTTAAAGGTCATCAAGAATAGTTACCTCTAAGAAGTTGGAGAGATGGCTCAGCAGTTAGGAGCACTGGATGCTTTTCCAGAGGTCTTGAGTTCAATTCCCAGCAACCACATTCTGGCATGCAGGTGTGCATGCAGATAGAGCATCATAGACATAAAATAAACCTTTAAAAATTATTTAAGAGCCGGGCGGTAGTGGCGCACGCCTTTAATCCCAGCACTCGGGAGGCAGAGGCAGGCGGATCTCTGTGAGTTCGAGGCTGGGCTGGATGACAGCCTCCAAAACAATACAGAGAAACCCTGTCTCGTAAAAACAAAAAAAAATATTTAAGAAAGAATAGTTTCCTCTCAAGAAATAAATCTGGGCGTTGGTGGCACATGCCTTTAATTCCAGCACTCAGGAGGCAGAGGCAGGGGGATCTCTGTGAGTTCAAGACCAGCCTGGTCTACAAGAGCTAGTTCCAGGACAGCCTCCAAAGCCACAGGGAAACCCTATCTCCAAAAACCAAAAAAAAAAAAAAAAAAAAAAACTATTCAATTTTTAAAAAAGACTGAAGCAGGCATGGGCCCCCTCCAATAAATGTAGCAGTAATAATGAAAGGTTGAGGTAGGAAGATCAGTCTGAATTCAAGGTTAGTAATTACATAGCAAGACCCTTTCCAAACTACTAAAACTATAAGTCACATATGCCACCACACCCAGCTTTAATCCCAGTATCTGTGAGGCAGAGGCAGGAAGAGCTCTGAGTTTCAGACCCGTCTGATCTACAGAGCAAGTTTCATGCCAGCAGGCTACATAGTGAGACCCTGTCTCAAAAAACCAAACAAAATTGACAAAACACTACAAATGAAAAACAAAAAACAAGAAACAAAACAAAACCCAAACATAGGCTCCCTCTACCCCTGCCAAACTCAAGCAATGAAATCTATAGGCTTATCCAAGGTCACACAGATACTATTTTTAGAAAACTTTCTTTTTACATTTACTTTGTGTGTGTGTGTCCATTTGCCACAGATTAGTGTTGAGGATAACTTGAAGTAGTCTTCTCCTTCCTCCATGTGGGTTGTGAGACTTGATGCCAGGTGCAATAATCATTTAATCATTTCACTGGCCCAGTATCGGTGTTTTTTTCAATAACACTGGGGCTTCATGTTGTTCATGCTTGCACTCCAGATTTCTAGCTTACAGAAACATGACAAGCTCATCATATTTATGTGTTATAGGTCACTGTATTTAAACTTGTCGTACACTGGGAGGATGTTAAAGGTGCTGCAAGGAAAAACAGTTCTTGCCAGTGATCTTACAAAGTGGGACTGGCAGGATATTTTGTAGAAATGTATTTAGCAGAAAACACACTCATGACAGTGACATAATACAGACAATCCTTTCACTTCCCTTTTCAAAACAAACAATAGTGTTTGAGATGTAGCTTATCGGTAGAACACTTGACCAACAAACTTGAGTCCTGGGTTAAACTGTCATTATGCCAAAAAACCATGACAAGGAGAAACAACAAAAACCCCACAGGGTGTGGATAGATGGCTCAGTAGGGAAGAGTGCATACTTGCAGAAGGCCAGGGTTTGGCTTCCAGAACCTTAATTGGAAGGTTCATTCACAGTTGAAAATTCTGTTCAGAAGTTGGTTACTGTTAGGGAAGTCCACACAAAATCATGATTTGCTAGGTGTGGAGGCACAAACCTGCAGTGCTAGCATTAATCAGCTAGCACAGAAAGGTGGAGAGAGAACTGATTACAAAGTTGTCTTCTGACCTACACACACACACACACACACACACACACACACACACACACACACACAATTAGAAGCAGAATGAAATCATGGTATTATATAAAGTCAAAATCCACTTTATTTTTTGTAAAGGTTTATTTATTTATCACAGTGTTCTGCCTACATGCGAGAAGAGGACGCCAGACTGAATTGTAGATGGTTGTGAGCCACCATGTGGTTGCTAGGAATTGAACTCAGGACCTCTGGAAGAACAGTCAGTGCTCTTATCCTCTGAGCCATCTCTCCAGCCCCCACTTTATTTTTTTAATATGTCAGTGTCCAGTTCTGGCCAGTAGCTTACTTTTTCAAGTCTCCAAACAGTTCATCATGTTTTCAGAGAGGCAAGGGGTGGTGTAGTGATCCAAATGTATTCAATCCCGTTCCCCCAGCGAGATGCCTGTTCTAGCATCAAGATGTAAGCCAGCCAAAGATTAGGCTTGTTGAGGCAAAGGGTCTTTCACTGAAGATGCTAGTCCTGGAAGGCTTCTTCTTCGACGAGCTGCCAGCTCAATTTTCTGAACCAGGCTCACATCCCAGGGATGGGTCACAAAATTGATAATGGTCCCTGGCACTTCACTGCCCACACGACCCACCCTTCCTGCTCTGTGGATGTAATCTTGCAGAGTAGGGGGGAAATCATAATTGACGACCAGTTCCACATGGATGCTGTCTAGACCTCGTGAGGCTATGTCTGTGCAGACAAGTACGTCTTGGGAACCCTTTTGGAAACTCTGGAAGATACCTGTTCTCATTGAGGCTGGCATTTGCCCTTGCAGCCTTAGATGTTGAATTTTGTGGTCATCCAGAATATATCCCAACCAGTTCACGGTGCTGGAGCTGTTGCAGAACACCAGGACAGTTCCTGAGGGTTTTGCCTTGCTGGCTTTGTCACGCTGTTTGAGGATCTGAACCAGTTCTGTCACCTTCTCTGCTCCCTTTAGTCTCAGAAAGGTCTGTCTGACATGAGGCATGATGCAGTGGAGCTTGGAGCTGGTGACCGTGGTGAGATAGTCCGGGCTGGTGACTTTACTCAGCAATTGGTTTACACCTTCTGGAAACGTGGCTCCCACCATCACTAACTGAGCTTTGGGATTAAAGGGGTCTTCTAACTCAGCTGGACTTTCTGCTATAGGGCTCTTTCCCAAGATGTAGTCCACGAGTTCCAGGAAGCTTTCATCCAGCAATGTGTCTGCTTCATCCAGCACTACGAAGGACAGAAGCTGTAAGCTGACAAGCTGACTTTTCAGGGCCTTCCACAGAGCCCCCGGAGTGGCCACAAGCACATCTGCTGACGGTTGTCTACACAGCTGCAGTTTGAGCTTGGCCCTGCCAAGGCCTCCTCCAAGCTCTAGCACCTGCAGGCCCAAGTACCTACCCAATGACTGGGCCACAGTCCGCACCTGTTCGGCTAATTCTCGGGAAGGTACCAGAACCAAGCCCCGGGGAGCTGCGGAACTGCGGGAATCCAGGTCCGGCCGGCTCAGGAGACGCTGAAACAGGGGCAAAAGGTAGCTGAGGGTCTTCCCACTACCGGTTTCGGCAGCGCAAAGGATGTGGCGGCCGCGAAGCAGCGGGGGGATGGTTTTCGACTGCACTGAGGTTGGCCGAACGATTTCGGGCGCAGCCTCCTGAAGCGCGTGTAGCACTCGGGGTTCCAGACCCAGGTCCACGAAGCTGCCACGGGACGAGAGGTTCGTCAGGGCGGGCGCCTCTTGCTGCACTCGCTCTATGGAAAAATAATCCGTACGCGACCGCCGATGCTTCCAGCCACGCGAAGCCAGTGGCGCGCACTCCCAGCGACCCAGCGTGAGGCGCGCGGGCTGGTTCAACTCCGGCCGCCGCGCCGAGACCAGCAGCGGACCAGGTCGCACTAGCACCGGCCGTGGGACACTCCCACGGTCGCGCTGTTGCTGCCGTCGCTGCAGAGCCCGCGGAATGCGCACCACCGGCAAGGGCTCGTCGGAACCGCGCGCCGCTATGTTCCGTCGGGGTACCAGAAGCAACCGAACTGCTAGTGACACCAGCCGAGGTGGCGGCCCTAAAGCCATCGTTCCCTTGATGCAGAGGGGCGCTTACCAGTGACGTCAAGTACGCGACCGTGGTCTCGAGTACGGTGGCTGGCGCGGCTCAGTGCTGCGTTGTGTCGTGTAGCGTGTGGCACTGCTGCACCGTCCGGAAGGAGGGAGGATCCTCAGAGTTCAGTGGCTGCGAGGTGTGTAGGTTCCCATCCGGCATGGCGACGTCCAGATTGGGAGCATCTTTCGGGAAGGGTGCTCGGTAGTGGCAGGAGTGGGGGTCGGACATAGGAGGTGGCCGTGGGGCCCTGGCTGAAATCATCAGGAATGAGGATGGCCTCTGTCAACTGGGTGCTTAATTTCTGAGATTCTTATTTGTGGTCTTCGTTGCCCTTGGCAAGCGTACCATAAAACTCCAAGGGTTCGGAGTGCGGCGATGTTTTCATAGATGTGCGCTCTGCTCAAAGCCTGGGTGATACAAGTGTGTAAGAGTCTGAATGACTCTGAATGGGGGTCTGGATCTAGGCACAAGCCCGTTCTCTAGTTTAGACTCCAGAGTGCGTGCTGGTTGCCTGCTGCATATTTCGTCTCTGGAGTAGATGAGGTCTCAGTTCTTCTAGATCCCTCCCTTTCCAAGAACCTCCATTCCTTGTTACCCCTTCCAGCTTCTCATAGTGATCCGCCACTCTTTTTGTTTGTTTAATTTGCTTTTGTTTTTCGATACAGGATTTCTCTGTGTAGCTTTGGGGCCTGCCCTGGAATTCGCTCTGTAGATCAGGCTGGTCTTGAACTCACGCCTGTCTCTGCTAGGATTAAAGGCGTGCGCCACCACTGCCCGGCAGGATTCACCACTCTTGATATCCATTAACTTCTCAGGCAGATTCTGAATTGCCTGAATAGAAGTAGTATGAAGGGTCTTGTTACCCTCCTGAAGTGATCAAACTTACCTCACATACCAGACTACTTGACTTGAATTTAGTGATTCAGGTTATTTTATTTAAGCTTTTTTCTTTTTAAATTTCATACTTGAACACATCTGGGGAAAAATGGGTACCAGATATTTTATGTCGTGTGAAGTGCCTGGAGTGGGAGATAAGGTCAATGTTTGTGGGTTGATTACCGGGAGTTCCTAATATCTGGAGACAATGTTTTAATTTCATTAACTAGAGCTGGCCCTTCATATTTCTAGGTGGACATCTGTGGATTTTTCCCACTGTAGAGTGAAAATATTCATGAGAAAGTTGTGTCTGTGCTAAACATGTTACTCCCCAACAACACAGTATAACAGCTATTTATGTTGTATTAGTCATTGTAAGTAATTTACAAATGTTTAAAACATATGGGAGAGGGTTGGGACATAGCTTAGTGATGCTATGCTTGCCTGCTATCATTTATGAAGTCCTAAATTTGATTCCCCCCAAAAAAACCCCAAAATATATAGGTAGATATGTAGGAATTTTATTTCAGGGGCTTGAGCATCTTCAGATTTTAGTATCTTTGAGGTTCCTAGAACCAGTCTCTGATAGCTACCTGTTGATGACAGTACCATTAGAAAGGTCAAAATGGTGGCACACTCCTTTAATCCCTGCACTTTAGAAGCAGAGGCAGGGGGATTTCTGAGTTGGAGGCCAGCCTGGTCTAAATGCATGTTTAGGTCAACCTGGACTGCAATAGTGAGACCCCCCCCCCTGCACCCTTTTTAAAGTGCATTCATAGGTTTTAATTTTTTTCCTTTTCTTTATGGTAGTGGGGATAGAAAGCAGGACCTTGTGCATGCATGCTAAGCAAGTGCCTTACTAGTAAACTATAGTCCCAAGGCTTGACTGTGTCCCTCTCCACTCCCCACTTTTCTTTCTCTGTGCAGCCCTGGCTGGCTTAGAGCTCACCGTGCCCAGCCCCGACTTTCTTTCTGCTCTCATCGTCTCTCTGTTCGCCGTAGCTCTGGACTGTGACTACTTCTTACCAGCCTCACTGAATCGGTGTCCTCTCTCACGCTTACTGAATTACCTCTGAATTTATCCCCCTGCAGTCCTGCCTGCTGGACGTCCTTTCTGGACCCGCTCCCCCAGTTTTCTGTTTATGCAATAGTCATTGTGACCCTGTGAGAGCAGGAGTGAGCTCCTGCTACCTCCCCACTTATAACCCTTTACCAGGTCATCTTTTTGAAGAGCCAACAAAGTCTTGAGGATGTCCCACAAAGACTCACACGATCTGAGTGCCGCTTCTTACTGTCTCATTGCTGCCACTCCACATATCTGACTTGTTACTTTCTCTCCGTTGTGTAGCCCATATTGTCCTCCTCACAGCTCCCCCAGCATAGCAGAGACACTCCTGCCTAGGGTGCTTTGCACCGGCCGTTGCCTGTATTGTGCATTGTACCAGATTCCTACTTGGCTAATCCAAATCTTTGTGTAAATCTTACCTTTTTTTAAACACATACCTCAGCCTCCCTATTTAAAACTGATTCTCATGCTTTGAGTCTTTCTTTGTCTGTTTTTTTTTTTTAATTCCTGTGTGTTACTCCTAGTTTCCCAGCACACTATATAATGGGTTGTTTATTTATTTATGTACTGACTGGTTTTTGCTAGTCCTCCCCCACAGGACTGAACACTCTCCTAAGGCAGCAGTCCTGTTAGTCCTTCTAGTCCATCTTGTTCTCTGAGCCTATGACAGTGGCTGGCACTTAATGAGTAGCTGTTAGACGCATGGCTGAGTATGAATCAGGGATACATCTCAGAAGAACTGGAGGAAGCCTGCCCTGCACGGTAGAAGAGACTTAAAGTTATTTTTATTCTTTATGTATATGAGCGTTTTTGCCTTCGTGTGTGTATTTGTAGTGCATGTGTTTCTGGTGCCTGTGAAGGTCAGAAGAGGGTGTTAGAACCCCTGAAGCTGGCATTACAGAAGGCTGTGCACTGCCATGGGTCCTGGGAATCAAACTCAGGTTCTCTGCAAGAGCAGCAAGTGCTCCTAACCGCTGAGATTTCTCCCCAAATTCTACATTATCTTTTAATCTAAAAGTTATTTTTCTTGTGTGTGTGGTGGGGCATGGGCGTGCACTGAGGATCAGAGGACGACTTTCAGCTCTCTTTTCATTGTGGGTTCCAGGGATCAAACTCGGGTAGTCAGGTTTATACAGCAAGTGCCTTTACCCACTGAACCATTTCACCGGCTCAGCACTATATTTCTAACCTGTGTTTTCTTTTCTTCAGGCATAGTAGAGGAGGAATGATTGTGAATAGCCTCTCCCTGTGCTACCACAATAAACTCATTTTAGCCCCTATGGTTCGGGTGGGGACTCTACCAATGCGACTCCTAGCCCTGGATTATGGAGCAGACATTGTTTACTGTGAGGTAAGGTATTCCTGATTTTCTGGGAGTCTCAGGGGAGGGGGAACAGGTTTCATCCTTGGGTGTGGCCATGTTTAGGAGATTGGGAGGCAGAATGTGACCTCCACTCGTGGTCTCACTAAAATCAGGAGCGATCAACACACATGACACTGATGATTTCTGTCACTCCTGAGGCCCTCGGCAATGGGGCAGCAGACAGCTGTGGGTCAGATGTGTAGATGGGTATCCTGTCATGTCATTGCCCAGGCCCCCATTCAGTACACTAGTGAACTAACTGGCCTTTGGAAGAAGAGAAGGAGAACCAGAACCAGGGTAAGGAAGTTGGATGAAGTTGGCATTGGTAGCTATGGGATTTTTTGGTGATAAGTTGAGTAAATATATCTACTGGCTGCTCCAGAGATTACTAGGGCTTCCGACCCAGGTTCAGAAAGATCTGATATGAAATGGAATTATAAGAGTAAGCTGACACTGGATAGTAAATGGGTGTTCTCAGTTGAGTGCTTATCAGAATTATCTGGAGGGCTATCAGAACATGACTGTTGAGATGTATGGTTGTCACGTCTGCTGTGCGGCCTGTGTCCGAGAATATGCGGAGGGTGTCGGGTATTGAAAACACAGAGACTCGTTCAATGATATAAAGAGAACTTTAAACAGGCTCCAAAAAGGTTCAAGAAAACCTCCTAAGAAAAGCTCCCACCAGAGAAGCTTCTGCTCTCTCCTCTCCCCTGGCTGGTTCTGTTCTGACACCAGAGGTGGATGTGTGTGGGTTTTTTGAAGGTGCGGTTAGTCTCTGGACAAGGTTGAGGTCAGGGCGGTTTCCGTGGGAAGGCCTTTCCCAGGAACTTATTGTATCATTTTTAGTAAACATGTTTTTACTAAACATTGTCTTACAGCTGCCTACTCCCAGGCAGAAGGGGAAGTGGCCAGGAACTTATTGTATCATTTTTAGTAAACATGTTTTTACTAAACATTGTCTTACAGCTGCCTACTCCCAGGCAGAAGGGGAAGTGGGTCTCTGCTCAAGGTCTGGTGTTCCCACAATTCACCCCTTTTTATTTTCAAATGAGGCACTCCTGGCTTAGGTCAAGTAGGGTCACCCTCCCTTTCCCGTCTTTGGGGGACCTTGAACCCCTGTTTTAGGTGGGAGGGGTCTTCCCCACAGGTTGTCCGTCATCGGAGATACCCCAACCTTAAATCATCTGTAACCAACCTTCATGGCTATCGGGATTGCCATGGGCTAAGCTAAGCAATACTTGGTTACGGATCTCTTGTCTCTGGAACAAGGCACGTTTGAGCTCGGCATAAAGCCAGAATGCCTACTGCCACTCCCACCATTTCCAGGACCCCCATTGACATAGCGCCTCTCCATCACCATACCCATCACCAGATCTGGGCCATAACATTCTACCAGCCTTCATCTGTTACAAGGGTAACCAGCATGTGATTTACATTTACAATTTGATAAAGTTTCCAATCATTTCAAGATCTGCTCAGGAAAGCATTTAGAAAGTGCACTTGCACAGATACATTAGGTACAATCATTGATGTTACACATGTAGCATTACGAAAAATATGAACAATAGTTGTCGCATTAGGACAAGTTGCATTTCTCCAGAAAAATACACTGGCCTAGGCGCGATTTCAGAAACAGGAACCACCAAGTTTGATATTTCAAGTGACCATGTCCTGTTCAAATACTGAAAAGAGGCTTTTGCCAC